TGTAAATGAATTTCGGTTGTTTAAAACATTTGGTGTTTCAACGGATTATTATCGCCAGAAGTATTCATTTCTATGCAACTGAGAGTGATTTGCCCAGACTAATTTTTATGTATTTGAAAAGCTCATCTCTTGTTTAGTAATCACTCCGAATTTTGTTGCAAACAAAATACTTGCACGTTTAAAAAATGATCGTTTTGTAAAGGTACTAATTTGCATATAAAAATACATATGCGAATATTTCGAGTTCCAGAAAATTTTCCTTTTAATTAAATGGTCTGAAAATCACTGAAATAAATATCAAAGAGTTAGAAAGAAAGCTGCAATTTACATTTTTAAAATAGCTATTTTAGTTTTTACATGAACTCGGTATAAAGTTTGGCTATTTCGAGTGCTATTTTTAGCCATCAAACATTTGTCACGCAAAGGCCCAGTATGTGACATTGTTTAGCGATTTTCTTGCGAAAAATGAAATATTTTCAAAAACCAATTACACAGCGATTGTTACCTAATCATACCTTATCAATATACAARATATGRAKAGATTTGATTTTTTGAGCCTTGCCAAAAAATTTCAGTTTTGTCTGGTTTTTGCGCAAAGCGGCTCTTAATGAGTGATTGGCAAAGAATTATTTTAGCATAAAGGAATATAGTAGTGCTAGATTGAACATTGAATGAATGTAAAAGTCATGTCATTTCATTATCAACTATGGCTGATTGACCGATTACGCATCTAGTACTTGATCAAATATGATAATATTTCACCAAATATGGCTGTTTCCAAAACTGCACTCCGAAAGCCTTTTCTTGCAGAAAAAATCCGGGGACTAGCAAAGCAATTTTCTCACATTTATCTCTGTTGTGTYTTTCATTGTTAACCAATAATGAGTTTCAGAAGAGAACTAAGCATTCAATAAACTGAATGCCACACGTAAAATACAATAATCTACTTACAAGATTTTCAAACTTTCCACATCAATCCATGTTTCCTTTTCAATGTCCTTGATAAAATTCATGTTGAGTCGCCTGAATGTGTTTCGCTAATTAGTACGAATCTTTTCAAAATGAAGTTACGATTGTTTTTATTTACTTACAATGTATGAAATGATGGTAGTGAAGAAAATGCTTTTTCATCCATGCGAATAATCCTGTTGTAACTTAAGTCTCTAAAAGATAGAAGTAATGACAAAATTGAAATGAGAACATCGAAAGAAAATAATTACAGCTAACTATAATAAACACTTAAGGGTACGAACGCTCTGACATTACCCTAATTGAAATGTTTCTTTTTAATCATTTGTCTTTTTTCTCAGGTTTTATAGTTTTATTGTTACG